ATGATCCTGGAGTCCCGGGATCGAGTCCCACATCGGGCTCCCTGCTCAGCAGGGAGTCTGCTTCTCCCTCTGACCCTCCTCCCTCTCGTGCTCTCTCTCATTCTCTCGCAAAAAACAAAAAATAAATAAAAAATAAAAAGACATTAAAGTGCTACAAGAGTAATATGCCTATAAATATAATAAGCTCAAATATTAGAATGAATAAATAAATGCATGGGCCAAGAGAAGAGTCCAGCTGGACACAGGAGCCTGGCTTCGTTCTTGGGACAGATCTAACGAGGTAGTGTGTGGGGAAGGGAAATTCTGAGTCCCGCTAGTCCCCCAAAGTTTGAAAAGACCTGAGAACCACCTTCCCAGGAGACCTACCTCTGAGCCCAAGCCTCCTCAGCTGCTAAAACCAGTGTGCAAAGCTAGGCCTAGGCAGACAGCCCCTACTTTCACAGCTTGCAAACAAGGAGGACCACTGTAAAAGTGGGAAGTTTGAAGTCCAGGGAACAGAGTGGGTGGTGGGATCACAGAAGTCTTTTCTCTGTTTCCTATTACTCTTGGAATTGGGCAGAAATAAGTTTTAAATTTCCTTTTAAATAAGTAAACAACAAACAAAAACCCACCTCTTCTTGCAGCTTTATAGGAGAGCTTTGAAGATCCCTCTTCCACTCCTCAGAGGAGCAGAACCTTGGAAGGGTAGAAAGCCTGAGAAATAACCTTCAACCTGACCACCATCAATCAAAGGAAACTACAGCATCCATCCCCAGAGCCCTGCTAGGCAGAGATTTAAATGATCAATCTAGCCTCCCTCAACAAGCAAATGTGTTGAGTAGATCATTTCTCCTCTGATCAGCCATTCTCAAGTAAGCTCCCATAAGCCTGATACTCAGTTGTGTGAAAGCATTCCTGGCATCAGGAATCGGCTCCCTGCTCTCTCTGGATGGGCCTAGAATGTTGAGCATGGGGGGCAAGAGCCCCAGCTCTGTCTCACCACCATATTGTACTGTCCTGCTTCCTCCTCTCTGTACCCCTCCCCCCCCTCAGCTTTTAAAAAAGATTTTATTTATTTATTTGACTGAGAGATAGAGAGCACAAGTAGGCAGAGCTGCAGGCAGAGGGAGAGGGAGAAGCAGGCTCTCCGCTGAGCAGGGAGCCCAATGCGGGGCTCGATCCTAGGACCCTGGGATCATGACCTGATCCAAAGGCAGATGCTTAACCAACTGAGCCACCCAGGTGCCCCTTACCATACACTTTA